GAATCTTAGAGATAAAGGCAAATATACTGGGTGAACACCATATCCACCTCTGCTTCACCCCTTAGGGAGATTTGACAAGTCACACCAGGAGCAGGAGAGGATGAGCAGGAGGTTTCAAAGTTCTCTGCAGGCCAGGAAGAAAAAGATTCCTGTTCTGGTAGCCTGTGTGGCCAAGACACCAGGGAATAGACCTAAAGCACACATTCTTCAAGGGTTTCTCGCGAAGGTATCCACTGGCTCCTAAGCCGTCACGTGCAAGGTTCGACACAAGAAACTACGTGGAGCAAAGCAACTGGGAGGACAAAGATTTGAGCACGTTTCAGCAGTAGGCAGTAATACTTCTTTCCCAAGTAGGAGACGAGTGTTAAATGGTTTACTGTTCAGTGACGCTACAGGTAGCGCGTACCGCAGCAATGCCGTTACTAACAGCTTCGGCTGTTTTGAGGAGCACTGAATTCTGTGGCCGTGACTCTGGGTACATGAGTCACTCACTGGTCCATCTCAGCTTTTCATTCACAGTACTAATTCAGTACACTGAAGGATATTTTGTTGTCATCTTTGTTGACATTGATTTATAGAAATTTCATGAAAAAGACACAATGCAGTGATTTTTTTTTGTAAAGGCAAAATCGTTTTTGCCAGGGGCAATGTTCTCATCTTCGCACTGGGGTCATGCAGCTCGGATTTTCACTGGCCACTCTAGTTCATACTACTTAGCAACACGAGGTCTTTATGTGGCTGTATTTGGATCATTTTATTATAAAACTGGAAGGGAATTCGAAAGGTCCTCATTAGAACAGATCTATACAAGGTCCTTTCTGAGAACCCTGACCTCACAGAAGATAAAGTCCTTTAGCTCTGGGAATGTGTATATTCATTTAAGAAGAGTCAAAGAGCACAGGAGAGGAGTGACCAGTGTGGCTGTCAGCCTAAGCGTTGGCCTCTGTCCCCAGGGCCCTAGACTCAGCTGCTCTCACAATGCATCTGCCCGTCAGACCCCCTGGAAGACTGGGCTCACCCACTGAGCGGCCTTAAGTCAGTTAATGGGGCTTTGAATGTGGTGGGTAAAAAAGTAAAAATAGCACTAATGAGTGAATTCTAGCAGTTAGCTCATGTTCCAAGTCTAACAAAGAACACAGATGAGGGAACTGATGCTATTGCAGAGGGGACACAGCTTACAGCTGAATGCGGTTGTGTAAAAAAGCAAGAATTTCTCATCTCCTTCTTGCCACTTTGCCAGGGGATGCTTCTTGCTAGAAAGGGTGTGACTTTTGAACGCTGACAAGCAGCACTTCATTTCCATTGTTATGAGCTTTCCTATGGCATTTAAATGTGCTTTTATTATTCTGTTAACCTGCGTCCTTTGAGAAGTTGTAACTGATTTAAGGAGAGTTTTTCTTCCTTTTTACCCAAGGAAAATAGTTGGAATTTTTCAGTGAAATGGCTAATGAATTTTTTTATAGTCAAAGCCTGGGAGACTAAAGCTCTCTATGCTACATACAAAGGAAAGTACCCGTAGGAATGAATATCTGAATGTTATTCAAGTATGTATGATTAACGAAGGGAAAAGGCATGCCATAGGACTGAGGGAGTCCTGGAAGGAGCAGGGCAAAGGATGCTTCAAAGAGGTCAGTTCTCAGGGATTGTGCTGAGTTTCTGCGTCTTACTAACTGTGCGCCTACAAGGGGAAATTTTGTGATAGCAGCGACATTGCAGGGAGGGACATAGAGAAGGAGGACCTGCACAAGATCAGGAAAGGAAGTCTGAGTTCTCCGTGTAGTTCTGCTACTAAGAAGCGCCGTGCCCCCACTGGGTCCCCTAATTGCTTTAGGGCTCCTTGCTTTATCTCTACCTGTTTCCACAGAGGGTTACATTTCTGACACTGGTTATAATTTGAAAGGTGTATCTGGAGGAGCTGGAAAAATTAGACATGGTTTGTAATAACATCCTAAGGAAATAGGCAAGGTTCAAAGGTTTGAAGCCTGGCTTTGAAATGATCAGTGAATTTGGACAAATATCTGAATTTATCTAGGAGCTATTTTTAACTATATTCTTTTTTGTTTCCTTTTTCCCCCTGGTATTGGGGGGTCAAACTCAGGACCTTGTGCTTGTGAGGCAGGTGCAGTGCTACTGAGCTAAATCCCCGGCCCCCTCTGGGAACTATTTTTATGTTCTGTATATTCCATTTGGACTAGATGGTCACTGAATTTTCTATCAGTAATATTAGCTATTCTTTTTGCTTTTTTTCTTTCCCAGCAAGATTACTACAGGAAATAAGCTGAATCTCTAAATATGTAGCATTATTTCTGGAATACTTCTCTGATGACTTTTGACAAGGATACATCAGAATGATTCAAGGTAGAAACAATTGTTATTAGGATAATTGCAAAAATTTTTGCTATATTTTAATGATGTTTTCTCAGGCTTTATGAAAACTAAACATAAGTTGAAAACCTTAGGTGAAATAAATTTTTATTTTTTATATAACATCAACTATTCATACTGGGTAAGAAGTGGGGCAGAGTAAGTGTTGGAAAAGGTAGCTCATATCAACTTGACAAAAGAGAAAATTAAAACAATTACCAAATACACATTCATGGTCAATATGACATTAGTAATGAATTATTCGAAGATGTAACCATTTATCTTTTCCTTTTAAAATATAAGACATCAATTTGAAAGGGTTAGAAGTATTTTATTTGACTGAAGCAGATTACAGTGTACAATGATAGTTTTAGTGTTTTCTTTATTGTAATCTCACTCAGGCAAATTTAAACAGCGATTAAAGTTGCTTACATTATAATTGGCTTACCTAAATTCTAAGTAATGCTATTTTACTTTTTATCAAATTTTCAAAATGAGCATAAAAGAAATGACAACATAATGTAGAAAACCTTTCAGAGAAAAATAGTACCATAACCAAAAGTATTATTTCAGAAACGTATTCTGATGTCAGATACATAGTAAGCTATTTGATAATTTTTCATAGGAAACTGAAGTACTAGGCTGTTTGACTTCACAGCTCTATTTTACACTTCAAGAAACAAACGTAGTCCATGTAGTAAACTTTCCAAGGTCAGGTTATCACTGGTAATAGAATATATTGCTTTATTTGTATCTTACACAGCCCAGTGCCTAACAATGTAGAGTTACGTGCTCACTTGTCATTGAACGTTAACCATTTGATGATATATCGTTCTGCAGTTATTGTATTTGCTCTCTATTTCTTTTCCTGTTAAGTTGAACAGGCAGAAGAGCAATTCGACAATAACCTTTGCTCACTGTCCTACTCATAATAGTATCCAGCTACATGAAGGGGCTCTATAAGTTGGCACTATCTGATTAGACCTGAAATTACTTCCAGGATGTGCCCCCATAAAAAAGTGTCATTAATCTGGTTTGTTGTACTGTTGTCTTTTGCGGTGTGAATTAGCTCTGCCAGCATCTGGCTGAGATCAACTTCTTTCACGAAGCTCACTAAAATCCATTTTTAATAACGAATGTATAACAGATGTCCTAGGTTAAGGATTTTTAGCAAAGCTCACTGGTAACTTGAGTGTTAAGAACCATAGTTGGTTGCAGTCATTGAAAATAATTCACCTGGATAATATAGGATCTGGCAAGGTCAAACTTTGATGAAGATAATTATAACACCAGAAAAAATAATGCAATTTATTTCCTGAGTTACTTTGTCATAAGTTTTTTCAACTGTAAACATTATAAGAGATCACAGAAACATGATCTTAATAGTTGATAGCAAAACTTTGTAAAGAAAGTGTTTCTATCACTAGAAAGATGACAAAACCATAATTGTCATTTCCAGTGAAGAATTGTCAAGTGAATTAAAAGCTGTCTATTTCATGGGCACTGATGACCAGTCGCCTTAAATGCCAGTAAAGCATGAAAGTATCCACAATTCAAATGTTTTCCTTAAAGTTTGGTGGCTCTCATATTTTTCCATTTTGAAAAATAAAGCCTTTAATTTCATAGAAAGAATGCGAACACTTCCACGAAATGAAAATATTGTTGCATTTGTCATCTATGTTTCATGGTTGATCTGAAACTTCACATAGGTGACATTTTCATTAGGGCATAGTCTGGAGAAATCTAAAATTTCAACATGTCATTTGCTTATATTGAAAACAAATGGCTCAACAGACTTGCCTGTAGTGTTGCCTGGATGGTGTGAATGTCTTAACTACAGCTCAAGACAAATCTTAGAGGTAAGATTCATCGAGCGTTGATTCTTCATCTTACGAGTCTAAAGTTCGGAGATATCCTGAGCATAAGAGCATCACAAGAACTCACAGCACTCTTGGTGCAGCTCTTGGTCAGTTCTACAGTAACCTCCACACAAGAGAAGCGAATGTAAACAGAATGAAACGATTCCGAATTCACTCACTGTGTAAATCGAGTTCAGACCTCACATGACACAAAAGAGTCTTTTACCCGGGCTCCTGTGTCTTTTAAACTACAGTGCAGTCTATGTTACTTTTTAAAAACCAGTATCTACTGAAGCCAGGAATTTCATTCTGTAAATGTGTCAATCATATTGAAAAAAACCAGTATGAAGTAAACTTTGCGTACAACCTTACAGTGAATGGAAACAGAAAAATACAAGCAGCGCCTTCTCACACAGCGAACACTAATGACAGATTGCCGGCTTCAGACCCTTCCACACGTGTGCTTATTATTCAGTCCCTCTGGCCACCATGGTCTCTATGCCAGACAGAAGAGAAAAGTGTCTTCAGAGACTGTCAGGATGGCATGCCTTCAATTGCCTGGGTCAGCGTGCACCAGACAAGGTCCCGTTTCCCCATCGTAAAGCGCTGGTAAGGGTCCTGCGTGTGCTGTCTACTGTCCTTGTTGCTTCTGTCCTGGAGAACCGGGTTTGCCAGAATTCTCTTCAGGGCGTGGTGCCGGAGAGACAGGAAACTGAAATCCGTAGCCATTGTACCCGTCCAAATAGACGCATTGGAAGAAACTGATGGGAGCTAAGGCAGAGGGCATGACGGATGTTAACGCATGCAAAATATGAGCAGGAGCGGGTTTAGAACCCAGTGAGACAGGGTGGTGACAGCTCCTGGCACGTTACTACACCTCTCTGAGCCTTGGACTCTCCGTGCGTACGGACAAGACATGGCAAACTTCACAGATGTGAAAATTAGAGTCAGCGTAGGTGGAGTGCTTAGAAGCCTTCCCGGAATACTGTAAGCCCTTAGTAAGCGAGAATACAAATGTCCTCGTGGAGAGTGGAGAGTACCCAGCTGCTCCGTGCATAAAATCTATGGTGTGCACGGCCATCATAGAGCTGGTGCATGTCGGAACACACCTTGTCATATGCAAGGTAACGGGGGTGTGGGGAGGCAGCTTTCCTCCCCTCAGACCCTCGCTCCATGCCGTTTCTGTGTGGGAGTCCGGTGAGCAGGACTGGAACTTCTGAATGTCAGCCCAGTAAACCTCTCCTCCTGTAACTTGGGGTGCAGGGCATTAGTTCCAGTGACGAGAAACTGTCTGAGACAAGTGACTACCTTCCTGCTGAGCCTTAAGCACTATCCTGACACATTGGTTTCACTGCCATAAGCTGTTAATGAAAATATCATTATGGAAGCAAGTTTCACAGCTTACACAAGAGGCTGAAGGACATGAGGCTATCGACCTATCTTATCAGATGAAAACAGAAAATATTGTTTAGAAGCAACAATTCCCCTAATCAAACTTAAAATATTTGGTGCCCCCCCCCTTTTTAACTAAAAGCAACTATATTCTTTTTAAAATTTTTAATTAAATTTTTATTTTGAGAAAACTGTAGAAATAATTGTACGAAATAACAGAGATATCCTATGTACTTTCACCCAGTTGCCATTAATGGAAACTTATTGTGAAACTATAACACAATATCCCAATCAGGAAACTGGCACTGAAGCTATCTACTTGTTTATTGAATTATGTTTCAATATTTATGAAATAAGAAGTGTTGAGTGTTTATGCAACATGGAAGCAGGTGAAAACTAGCAGGCTAGCAGCTGGGAAAGTGTTGCTGTGTAAATCGGGAACACGCCCGGGTTGATTTCTAATTTCTTTTCTTATGGATTTTGCAATAACACTTAAAATTACCATTAAACTGTATGTATGCTTCTTTATGTTTCCCACAACCCGAGTATATTGTTTATAATTAGTATCTTTTATCTGCCACAGCAGCCTCTGCATATAGTCAATACTTGGAACACAGTAGGCCTCCGTATTTTATCAATGAAGAAACTATTGATGCAAAGTAGAAAGCCTTTGGTACCGTAAAGGGCATTTTGTAATTTCCTGCACATTATATAAGAAGAAGTACCGAAGCCATGGACAGCATGTCCTCAGAAAAATGTCTCGTTCTATATTTTAAAAGCATGATGTGAGCCAGACTTCAGTTATATCCATTTCAAAAACTGCTTCCTGTGATCTGTCCAGGGATGACTTTATTTAATGCATATGTGGATCTGAAATTCATCATTTTACCACCTGAACAAAATGTCTAATTTGAAGACACTGGGATAATGAGACTCTTGAACACTGAATAGTGTGCATATGAATGTTGATTGCATTCTAAATTTAAGGGTCCCAAAGATTGGATATTAAGGGGCTGCCACATAGCTAGACAAATCCAAAAGAACTTTGAATCTTAGAAGTGAATTTTCAAGCAAATGAATTGCTAAAGCCTTTTTCTACATTTTTCTACTTGATATAAAAAAATTCATATCCCTTCAACTGATGTATTATACAGAAGACAGTAACAGACATTGAAGCAAGGCATCAATCAAGTATCTGGCATCAGAGCCATGTAGAAATGGCTCACAATAGATGCCACTTCAGTCATTGCTCCTAATTTTCCCAACTCTGCTTCTTGGCTGACACAAAAATGACAAATTCCTCCTTGAAATATAAGTGACTCATTTTAATGTTATTCTCATATCCGCTAAAAATCGTTTTTCTTATAATACTGGACTTCTAGAGAGGATCGAAAGTTTAAATCTGTACATACCATCTTTAATAAAGAATGATTTAATAGTTTTGATCTAATTATGAACTTACTTTTTTGCTTCTTTGGGGAAGGCACATCTTCAGTTTCTTCTAATGCATACAAAAATAAGAAAATGAACATTTACAGATAGTATAGAAACATACTGTGGCTCTGAGAAAGACTACACAAGACCACAGCACAAAAGAAACGTGAGTTAGTTCCTGCCAGGTTTGTATTCAGATTCTGTTTAATCTTTCAGCGTGAAATTTAACAGGCAAAGTGAGGATGGGACAAGAGGTGATGGAAGAGGCAATGACATGCCCCACACCCTTGGGTGCTGGATCCTGGCAGGTAAGAACTAGTTCCCATACTCAGTTCTTGAGAGGAGGTTACTGCTGCTCAGAGTTACAATACTGCAAGGGTACCAGCCCTCTGCCTCCTCAAGCATCAATCATTTTACCATGTTGGGCATGTCATACTCTCGGTTTTCAGCCATTCTGAAGTAGATCTTCAATAGGTACACTTCTGTGGAATGGAAAGTCAGCCTTCCTCTCTAACTGTGTTTTGGTGCCCTTGTTTAACTTGGTTCTACCTGCCCTGGAGCTCTTTCCAGTCTCCCGTGAACACGACTCCACTCTGCTTTGCGAAAATGACCTTCTGGTATCCACAAATGACCAAGTACCCGTGGGACTTATCTTCCTGTGTCTAGGGGATTTCACTTAACATGATGACCGCACTTCCACTCACATTCCTGCAAATGACAAGAGTGGGTTCTTCTTGTGGCTATACGACATTTCCCTGTGCATATTCACCACATTTTCTTTATCCATTCATCCGCTAATGGGCACCAAGTTTGATCCCATATCTTAGCTACCGTCTGTGAACAGTGCTGCAGGGAATATGGGAGTTCAAGTGTCACTCTGCTGTAATGCTGCAGGTATGTGCTTGGTGTGGCATTGGTAGATCACACAGTAGTGACCTTTCGTTAGTTGATAAGAATCTCTACACTAACGGCTATACTAATGCACGTTCCTGCAAAAGGTGAAGAGCTCTCTAGAAGAGTGTCTTAGTACACGAATAAATATAGATTGTATTTTACAAGACTTAAAAATACTCATGCGTTTCCTTTTGACTTTTCTCAGTGCAGAGTTTTTCACGTTGTCAGGTAAGCTTGGTCGTTGCTACAGAACTTATACTTCAATGGCACGAACAATTCTTCGGCAAACTATTATTATCTACAAAAGTGTTGGAAGTGGAGCAGAAATTCTACTTCATACTGAGCTCAAACTCAGTATGAGTTTGCCAGAAAATCTTCAGGAAGCAAGATTAAAAACCCCCACAAATTCAGTTCAAACTCTCACATTTCCGATGGAGACATATTCTTCTGGAAAGACTTGATCAAGGTCATAGGTTTGATCAAGCAGGTTTTTCTGAGTATTTGTCCTGCATTTTAAATTTAGCATCTTTTCTTCCCTTTGTTTTTTTTTCAGTCTTCCTCTCTCTTTTCTCTTCCTCCCTTCCTTCCTCCCTCTTTAACGATAGTGCTGCTAATATAGTAGATTTATCATTTTTTCTTAACAAAAACTGATCTTTGATGAAATGATAGTATTATACTCTTTGAGGAAGTGGTAATTTTTTGATCCTTGATGACATGATGATTTTGAAGGAATAATTCTGCAGATTAGTCAGTAAATGCACCTGATAATTATGAGTAAATAAGTTAATGCCTCACCAGCTTATTTCATATGAGGAAATATATTTTCTAAATAATATAATAAAATTTTATTACAAAAAATAAGTCTAGCCATGTATACTTTGGTCATAAAAGCTGGCAACAAGGTTAAGAATATTTGCATAAAATAAGACAGACAAAACATCACACAGTCTTGAGAGGAAACAGGAAAAAGAGCCGAGGATGACAAAATTACCTTTAGCTTTCTTTGAAGCTGGCACATCTTCAAAATCTTCTCCTAAAATGCAGAAAAAAGACACAGAAAATTACAGTCTGATGTTGCAGTTTTCTCAAAGAGGGAACATTGTCTTTAAGGCTTTTGAGAGTCAGAAGATCTCTTGGTCTAAAAGCTCAGCATCCAGTGCTCCATGAGAGCTCCTGAGCAGACTGTCCTCCAAGCTGAGGGAACGTGCAGGGAGTGCAGCGGCCCAGTGGTCACAGCAGGGAAAGGGCATGGGTGACCTTCCCTACAGTCCACCCCTGATGTGCCTCTCACCCTCTGACTTTGAAAACCCTTTCAAAAAGTCATAATTGCATTTGGGATATAGGAAAATTTGAAGTAAATGGATTCATACACAGGTTAGATCATGGAACAAAACCTACCCATACCATTTATTAGCAGATTGGTGGGGAAGGTTAGCCTTTTTTGGCAATTCTAAGAATCCAGGAGAAAAACTGATGCATACACATAGGTCAATTAATCCTCGACAAAAGCATCAGAAAGGCACAAGGGGAACAGGAAGTCTCTTCTATAAATGGTGTGGGGAAAACTGGGAGTCTACACACAAAATAATTAAATTGAAACTAGCTTTTATCATACACAGAAATCAATTAAAAAGGAATTAAATACTTAAACATGAGACCCCAAACTGTAAAAATTATAGAAGGAAATTTAGGAGCAAAGCTCTTTGAGCATGATCAGGGCAGTGACTTTATGGATGTCAAAGGTACAGGCAACAAAATTAAAGATATCCAGGTGTTCATTGCACGGTTCTAAACAGCAAAGGAAACAATCAACAAAAGAAACAGGCAACCTGTGAAATGGGAGAGAATATTTGCAAATCACATACTGATACAAGACAAATATCTGAAATATATAAGAAACGCATACACCTTAACGAAAAAAAAATCCCAAATTTAAAATGTTTAAAAAAAGACACAATTGGCCAACAGGCACATAAATGTGCTCACCTAACATCACTAGTTATCATGGAAATAAGATCCAAATCACAAGAAGATAGCATATCTGTCTGATGGCTATTGTCAAAAATTCACATAATAACAAATGTTGGCAAAGATTGGCATAAAAGGGGACTGTACGGTGTCGACTGGAATGAAAATTGGTACAGTCATTATGGTAAGAAGTACAGAAGATTCTAAAATAATTAAAAATATAAATACCATATGATCCAGCAGCACTGTTTGTGCATAGCTATCTCTCCATGTATATACCTATCATATTGTGTTCTTGAAATTTTCTGAGAAAGTAAGTTTTAAATGTTCTCAGACAAAAACACACACATACACTCACACAGAAGTCAACTTTATACCATGATGGATTTGTTAATTAGCTTAAATTTGATAATCATGACGTAATGTACATGTACATCCAAATATTAGATTGCATATCTTAAATATATATAAATTTATACTAAAGCTTCAATACATAAGCAATAATTCAAGTTGTATCATGTAAATCACTTAATCTTTTGCACAATCAATCACAGGCACATACTGGAATAATGTGGAAGCAATTATGTCAGAGGTAATGCTAATAAAATAGAGGAATCTTTTAATTTTATTGCAAACTTTAGTACTTATAAATATCTAAAAGAGGTCCAATTTTGGATTATTTGTTTATACTTTGCATACTACCCATTCATTAATAAATAAAAAGGAGTAAAATAGGACATTATGCAGATTTTCTCTGAGAGGGAAGAAATGCGACCTTTATGAAGACATTCTATTGTGAAAAAGAACAAAATTAGTAGGATTTCACAGTACCTTATTAAAGATTTAATCTGTCCTAAAGAATATTTACAAAGTATGATTTGAAATATGCTGAATGTATAGATTTTAATAATATATTACAGTGCACTACACAAGACACATTGCCAATAATTCCTCTAAAAATATTACCCTTCACTTCAACCACACTGACCATTTTCTGAAGCCATTCCCAAAGTCCTCTTTTGTGAGTATCTTTAGTGCTGTCATGGCTGCTTTTGTGTCCAAAATCGCTTCAAAACGTTTCCCTTTCATGGTCACTTTGACTTTGGGCAAGAGCCAGAAGCCACATGCGGCAGATTCGGTGAATAAGATGGTACCAGCCTGCCTTTCTACTAGACAGCGCTGAAAGCGACATTCACTGCATTTTTGATCACACCTTGCAAAGAAGATTGTGGAAGCTGAGTTACAGAATTGCTTTAGAAAACAGTGGCAAGGATGATGAGATGTGTTTGAAGCAAGGCGGATATTTTGAGGAGGCTTCATGGCAATGTGTTTTTACTGTAATTTTTAAAATTTTAAGCATTCATTATATATTTTGATGCACCTCAAAAATAGTTATTTAAATCCTGGAAAAATGAAAGAAAGACACAAGTGGTTATATGATGTTTTCACGCAACAGAGTAATGTAACTATATCTTAAAATGTCAGAGTATCTAATAGAAATCATTCTACTTTCAGTAAGGATCTGTTTATTTCTGTGGAAGACTGGTACAAAAATGAAAGGAGGTAAGGCCCCTTTCTACAGGAACATACATTTTATTTTTGTAAACTGTAGCACACTTAACACTAAATACTTATTCTCTAGATTCACTTATTTCCCCTGGAGAAGTAAATTTGAGAATAAAAACCTTCATATCACCAAATTTTGTATTCTGACAAGGTATCAACTGGCTATCGGAGATGAACTCTGCAGAGCATGGGCTGTGTGCTCTGCTTGCTCATAGGAGGGGCAGAAGTCGGAGAAGGTGAACTGCAGGCTTACACCAGTTCCTATGTAGATTCAGCCTCTGTGCAAGCAAATTCACAGCAATGAAAATTTACTGAACGGGAATAATGCACTTCATTTGTTACCATTCAGGGCTCAGAAAAGGAAGAAGACACTTGTAGTCCACTGACACTTGCAACTCGCACAGTGACTGAGTGGTGGTTTTGATAAAACAAATACTCGACTCCGAAAAGGTGTAATCACAAAGGGAAGATCAAAATGTTCCAATGGAATTTTAAAAAACGATTTGATGTTCGGGGGGTGGGCTGTCAGGGAAATCATTTAAGAAGAAAGCCAAATTCACAATGGACCTTAGAATAATGTAACAGAAGGATCAGATGACAAATTTAAGGTAAAGATAACAATATAAAGAAGTCAAAGATGGCTACAGACAGAGAATATTTGGGAAGTGCAGGGATGTTCTAGAGAGGTTGGATAAACTGATCACATGGAAGATCTTATGTTGGGCTGGAGAGTCTGAACTGTATTTCATATTCAATGAAAGTTGTTCAGAAAAGAAATAATGTGTTATTTGGGAACAATCTAATATAGTATTTGGGGAAAATAAATTAGACTAGAACATAAGAGTAGATTCAGAGAAAAAATAGCAAAGTATTTAAACAACATAGAAACAATGATTTCTGCAAGTAGACATCACTAAGATGGTGAAGGGAGACAAAGAATTTACAGAGAAAGTTCAAAAATATTAAGTATGCATGAGTGTGAGAGATCAGAACAGTGATGGTGTGGAGGAGATTGTGGTACGGTACTACCAGCCCTCAAGAACGAATTGAGTTCATAAGTCAAGGGTTCACTGCAGCTCATATTTTAACACCACCTGCTGGGCTCTGTTGGATGATTTTCTTGTGCTCGCCCTTCCACTGCTGACCAGACAAGATGAGGTAGGTGCTCTTCTACTGAATCTCCTGTCCAGATAGGGCGGAGGCTAAGTGCTTCCCACGGCCACAGAGCCTGAATGTGAACCAGAATCCATCTAGATTGGGGCCTCTTAAATGAAGATTTATGTTTATTTTGTGAACAGTGCATCTGTAGGCTATCCCTTGGTCTAAGCACTATACTTATGGACAAATTTCACCTCCTCAGGAACTCTCTGAAGAACGCTGATACCACTGCTAGTTCCCAGTTTCAGATAGGACCCTCGAAGGCCAGAGAGACTCAAGATCTCAACAACACATAATTAAAGGAACGGGGATTCGGATTCAGCTGTTGTGGCTCCAGAGATTGTGCTCTTAACCAGCATACCATGCTGACCCTGCCACCTCTTGAGGATAAACATCTAAGAGCAACTGTTTCAGATTCCAGAATCCATGTGTTGTACTGTCTCACATGAACCTGCTGCAGGCCTGGACGGAGTCTAGGGACGTGGGAGCCATGCTTGCGTGTGGAGCAGAGATGAAGGCGGAGGCTTCTGCCCACCTTCAGGAGCAGATTGTGCCCAGTGTGTTCCTCTTCTCCTCCATCTGTTCTCTTTCAGAGGGAAGAACTAGCAGGGTTTGTCACCTTTGAAAATGATAATGACACACAAGAGATGAGGATAGTACCTGCTTGGTCTGCCCTACTACTGTAAGTGATTTGGCACTTACAGTCCACAATTCAAAGAAAAATGCACCACCATGACTTTGCAGTTGTGGGTCCATTCTTTACTTACACAGAAACTTAGACTCCAAAGGGCCTGGAGCATCAGAGAACCCATCTTCTTTTTTAAGGCAGATGCCATCACCATTACAGGGTCAGAAATGAGTGAGAGGTCTTACCTGAGGGCCACTATTTCAGTGTTTTCTACATGCTGCCTTCAAGGGTTGGGCTTTATTTTTATCACTCTTTTTACTTCTTGAGTTAGTGGATACAGATACAAGGATATTTCAATAGGTATGAGTGAAACCAATAAAATGGTCATGATAGAGAGGCCTGGATTTGGTACTTTTTCCTGTTGGATCTTCTCATTAACTGAAGAAATTTTATCTTTATCCCATTCTACAATCTGTCTTATCTAAAATTAAAGGCTGTTTCAACACTTAGGAAAAATGTTATTCTGAAATCAAGTGTAAGTGAACAGGCAGAAATTCTTTTTGCCCTTTGATGGAAAGTTTTTATCAATCTCCAGGCCTGACCTGCAGTCATAGGTTAAAAAGAATTTCAAGGGAGGTGGAGTTTTTGGAAAAGGTCAGGTGTTAAATCTCAGTCACCACAGAGCCAAGGATAGCACAGACTGTGAGGCTGAG